TCAGTACCAGTTACTGAGTACGTTACTATCACTCCTACTCCAGACATTCCAACTACAACCATCACTAGTGGTTCAGTCCCAACTAGTTACTTAACTACCATCACCACTGGTTCAGTACCAGTTACTGAGTACGTTACTATCACTCCTACTCCAGACATTCCAACTACAACCATCACTAGTGGTTCAGTCCCAACTAGTTACTTGACTACCATCACCACTGGTTCAGTACCAGTTACTGAGTACGTTACTGTCACTCCTACTCCAGACATTCCAACTACAACCATCACTAGTGGTTCAGTCCCAACTAGTTACTTGACTACTATTACTACTGGTTCAATACCAGTTACTGAGTATGTTACCGTGACTCCTACTCCAGACATTCCAACTACCACTATCACAAGTGGTTCAGTCCCAACTAGTTATTTGACTACCATCACCACTGGTTCAGTACCAGTTACTGAGTACGTTACTATCACTCCTACTCCAGACATTCCAACTACAACCATCACTAGTGGTTCAGTACCTACTGGTTATTTTACTACTATTACTACTGGTTCAGTTCCTGTCACTGAGTATGTTACCGTGACTCCAACTCCAGATATCCCTACTACCACCATCACAAGTGGTTCAGTACCTACCGGTTACTTAACTACTATTACTACTGGTTCAGTTCCTGTCACTGAATATGTTACTGTGACTCCAACCCCAGATGTTCCAACTACTACTATCACAAGTGGTTCAGTTCCTACCGGTTATTTTACTACTATTACTACTGGTTCAGCACCAGTTACTGAATATGTTACTGTCACTCCAACTCCAGATGTTCCAACCACCACTATCACAAGTGGTTCAGTTCCTACCGGTTACTTAACTACTATCACCACCGGTTCAGTTCCAGTTACTGAGTATGTTACCGTGACTCCAACTCCAGATGTTCCAACTACTACTATCACAAGTGGTTCAGTTCCTACCGGTTATTTTACTACTATTACTACTGGTTCAGTTCCAGTCACTGAGTATGTTACCGTGACTCCAACTCCAGATGTTCCAACTACTACTATCACAAGTGGTTCAGTTCCTACCGGTTA